ATATAGTATATCTGCTTTGACATTTAGTCCTTGAAAGTCATCACTGCAGTGTTTATACTGGGGAGTCATCATGGCAGAGGGTGCAGGTGAAGAAATATGATTCTACAGGAAATATACAGAAATTCAATGCGACAATCTAGACTGTAACATCATATTGAGCTTTGAGACTGAGGGGAGCAAAGTTTACAGTTGAGAAGCCTTGGATTTAACACCAGTATCTACTATGAGGTTATAATTATCCTCTAACCGTTCTGTATCAATGCAATGGTAATTCTACAGGTTTTACATTATGATGAGTTATAACAAAACACCTAGGTTACAGCTGAAGCTGATGGTAATGTCATTTGTTTTGCAGGTATTTGCTCATAAAGTATTGGACAAATGGAAAGTTCAGGGATCCGCAAAGTTGTCTGCAACAACTTTCATGGCAATCCGTCCAATTGTCGTCTGCACATTTTACTCAAAACCACAAATGTGAAGCTCATGGTGTCGTTGGAGGAACAGCAGCAGGATCAACAGAGTCAGCAGGATTCATTGTCTGTAAGCCATGAATGTGTGTACAAAATATCTGTATATTTGTATTATAATACACCAAGTTGATGTTAATTAAATTAAAGAAATTAGAGCTGCCTGGAGCCAAACTTTGGAATCATATCATCGGGGGCAGATCCGGTCAACTACGACACTAACAAATGGTGTGTCTCCTCTCTCTGTCTCTCTTACTAACAAACAGCAGCAGACAAAACATTCAAGTAGCATCTTCTCATTTTCAGCTGGCGATTTCACAGGTTAAAATGACAATAGCTTGCAGCAAGTCATATCAGCTGTCGCTAAATGAATGGTGAATCCAAGAGTAACTGAATGACAGGCCAAAATTAAACGTTTCTGTTTGTTAAAGTGATCACCCAAAGACTGCAAGTGTTTCTGCGGTTCCCACAAAGCAACAGAGCATGAAGACTTTTCTTTAGCTGACTGCCTAACATGAAGTTCAGTCCTCGCATTCTCCAGTTAAACTTTCATTCATATCATATTAATAATTCAAGCTTATAAACTTAATAGCTTTGAATCGGACCTTCAGTAGTTGGATCAAATAGCTCATGAAAAATAAAATAATAATTAATAATTTAGAAGGCTACAGTTGTTATTTCAGTGTCAGATACATAGTCAATCATCACTGGGTTTGGGATCGTAGCCAAAAATATTTGATCATGATGTTCCTAGTGAATAAATGAACACCTTCACCTACTAGTGGTGCTAGAGTAAAAGAGAAACACCAAAGTCAGTAGGAATCGCCCTCTGGGGACCATGGATAGACCAAATTGGACTGACTGACAGACCAACACTGCCCTCAGAGCCACCCTGTTAGTCTTAATTCATTCTGTGGTTGATTCCATTTGACTGTAGGTTCATTTGGATTCACATTCGGGTCCATTCGGGCTTGAATTTAGTTTTTCTTGCTTCCATGAGGCTTTATATGTTTTTAAACATCAATATATGATTTAGGGTTTTAAACCCATGGACATCTAACCCTAGGTGGAAAACGTTGTTGAGACTGAGATCACAAGTGAGTAATCTTCATCATTATCGCTCACTCTGATGAAAAATAGATTTGAATTTACTTTATAGCATCATGAAACAGCCGATGCCTACATTAAATTGCAAAATTACCCTTGAACCCCTCTGCTTCTGTCTCCTGTTTTCATACCACCTCCGTGCCTGCATTCACTCACCTCTAATGCCTATGGCCAAGTTCTGAGAATGGGCTCTTAACCTGCTCTCCTCTTATCGATCCCACAGCTTGTCTCTTCAGTTTCCCCACCTTTTGTGTCCAGGATGTGAATCATAACCCATCTTTAGACCAATCAGTTACCTTCTTCTTTTCTTCCCTCTCCTCTCCACCGCTCTTTGTCCTGACTCACTCCTTTTGTCCTTTTTTCACCTGGACATATAAATAATGACAAGCCCCCGCCCCCCCCAATCCCTCTCCCTCCCTTCCTTTCTTTCCTCACCTCTTGGGTCCCTGGATGCTGATCATCCCCATGTCCTCAGAGTAGTCTGTCAGCTGGCAGCGGAAGCCTTGGTCCTGAAGAACCGTTCTAATGTGGTTCCAGTTGTGTTCGGCTACACCCCCTCCGATGGCCAGGTAGTATGCTTCACCTGGATGGCGGGTGGGAAAGAGAAACAAACAGTGATAAGGGTGAGTATGACAGAAGCAAGGACAGATGGAGCATCAGACAAATACAACTGACAGACAACAACAGACAAAACTGATAACTACATCAAAATATAACAAAACATAGAATGAGTGACAGAGGTTACATACTTCCAAATAAGTTGCAAGTTTAAATCATATTTATGAAACATAGGCAAAATAAGTTTACGCGTCAAGATTGCATAATTAATCGAGAACCACATACTTTTTCACGTTATGGCATTTAATCGCTGCTTTCCATCTAAAACGGATGGATAAATCTGGTTCCAACAACATTCCCAACACATGCTTTTATTTTTTTATTTTTTTATTATTTTTTTTATTTAATATTTTTGGGGCTTTCCGGTGAAATGAAGGCTTCTCTCGATGTCATCTGAATTTTGATGCACGAACTTTTCCGTGTGTAAATAAAAATGCTGCAAAATTTCAGCCGGCTTATTCTAAATTTCTTTGGGTTCACTTGTTTTGCTCTTTTTTAGGCATGTTGAAGATGGTAAATATGGAAAAGCTGGTGGATGAAGATATGTGCATAAAAGTAGGTAAAATTACTGAATGGCAAACAACAACAGATGCATACAGTAGAGCAATAAGATGAGTGATTGAAGTTGAAAGATAGAGTTCAAACATAGAATGACGATAGGAGGAGAACAATAGAATCAACAGAATAATAATGGAAAAATATAATGATGAATACAACAGATATACAGTATTGACAGATAGACTGGAAGACAGAACAATAACAGAACGGGGAAAAACAACAATAAATCCACAATAAAATACAACAATATTACAGTTACACAGTTAAAATGAAAAAAAAAAAAACAGGACAATGATAGAATTATAAATAGATATAACAGTATAGCAGATAATTATGAAAACAACACACACACACACACACACACACACACTTTCTCTGTTTGTTTCTCACCATTGGACTCCGGTGCCAGGGGCAGGTTGGCAGAACCAGGCTCCAGTCTGCTCACTGTCAGGTCAGCCTCCGCCCCTCCTCTCTTATTCAGCATGCAGGTATACACAGTGGAGCCTGAAACACACACAAACACACACATTAACAATTCATTCTCATGGCAAGGCTTTGTAGGCCAATTTGAAAGTGTGTAGTCCCTTGGAACCAAGCCGTTGGAAATCTCAGAATAAAAAATGAACCCGAATCTGAGGTCAGTCTTCGGTTTGTAACTGATTCTTTGTAAGTAATCTAGTTTGTGCGCTTTTGTGTGTGTGTCTGCGTGCGTGTGTGCGCACTTTTTTCGGGCCCCCAGTGTGTGTATAAGAATGAATTTTTAATAAACTCAAGTGTACTTACACTTCTTTCACAACTTTGTTGTTTTTAAGGGGCAATCATTATCAGTCTCTGCCTCCGGGGAATATAGTCACCCTGACGACATGTGAACCTCATCTTTTTGGAAGAGAGTTACCAAGGAAACGACTGAAATATAAACCCCACTGAAACTGATTGCTGAGAACATCACTTAACAAAGATATTCATGATGAGAACATCATCAAAATCATTTTCCTAACGAATGAAGTCTGTATCTAACCACAAGAGACAAAATAATAATAACATTTCCCTCATCCATTGGCCAAAGAAGCTGATTGTTGCAGTGACATGCTAATATGTGGCTGTCCCTCTGTCATCTCTCATTTGGCTGAATGAGTGATGTTACAGCTTCATTCTGTCACTGGTATTAAATAAAAAGGGTGTGTGTAAATGTGTTAGCAAAGCATAACTCAGCCTGCTGAGCCATTAAATATTCTCAGAGCCAGTCTGAACACTGTAATTGTTGTATATTGAGAACTGGGAGCAAGAGAGGGAGAGCGATAGACAAAAAGGCTAAGAAGGCAAGGTCGGATGATGCATCATCTATCTCTTTTTTTTTTTTAAAGCAGTGCTTTTTGAGAATCTACCTTTGTTAGTGGGGTGAAATATGGTTGTGATAATGAGTGGAGGATAATAAAGTGGAAGTCGAGGTTATTACAGCAATTTAGCATCGCACTTCAATTACAGTTGGTTTCTAATCTGTCTTAAAAGGAGACAGACTGCAAAGAAATGGTGCAAATTGATGCAGCAGAGGACGGATTATCCTGTCTTCCTTAGCATTTCCTAGAAGTCCCTCATCTGACACAAGCTTTTAAACTGCTGGATCTAACATCCAATCATTATAGCCTGTATATTTCTTTGTATAACATAAGGAACCCAATGCTGGCACAAGATAGGGGCATTTTTATTATGTGTTTCACGGTCACCATAGTTTCTTCTTCTCGCTTGGAAAGGGAGGATGAAGCCAGGGAGTTGCAACCTGCAACTAAACCACTAGATGCCACTAAAGCATACCCAGTGGTACTTTAAAATCAGTCTTCGATGATTTTGTGTATCTTTTGTGACCTATTGATTCCAGGTTTGTACAAGACATACTTGTATATCTTGTATAACTTGTTTTTATTTTTTTCATTTTTCTTGTAACATGGGTAGCTTGACACACAGGAAGAAAGACCTGCGGTTGGTCAAAAACCTTTCATTAAGATTTTAGGTTAAGTTTAAAAGTTTAAAGCTGTGTTTCCAGTGTACAATTGATCCTTGTGTTTGCAATGGATGACACATTTCCCATAAGGAAAAAAAATTGCATCTTTTCATTAGACCTTCCCTGCCTGGTATATGACACACATCCACTTTGGTAAAACATGAGGCATTATACGCCTGTTTTTACAGGCAAAGCAGTGCTTGTGACTAGTAACTGACCTTCATTGTGGAGTTCCCACTCAAAGCTTACGTGGGTAGACGTTCAGTATTTGTTTCAAATTATTCTAACAGTAAAAGTTATTATTTGTTCAAAAACTAGTGCAGTCTGTGTGTTGTGTTCAGTCCATCCGTTCAGTGCCCATGGGTCAGATCTGTGGGGTGGTACCAGTGGGAGTCGCCAAAAATCAGACATTTTCAAAACCCACGGAAACCTAAAAGGTTGGATGACAGATTTTAGTTTCTGAAAGGATATCGCTGTCAACACAGAGGCGATCAATTCTGTTCAGCAGTGGAAACTGACAGTGGTTGAAGTATGACTGTAAGGAAAGTGGAGAAAAAGAATATCAGAGCATTTGGAGCTCTGCCCATTTTCACATCTGTACACACCTGTCACTGCAGAAAGAAGGCGTACCTGTCGGTTTGCAGAAAAAAAAATCTGGCAGTGCAGACTCCCTTGTCACCACTTTCAACAGAACCTCTAAGAGACTTTTTTACTGGCAGTTAGTGTTAGTGATATTTTCTGATTTTGTAGAAGAATGGACTGTTTTACTCATGTTTTGGCATCTTGTTTCATCCCTCTATCCATGTATCTGCCCTCTTCATTCTGTCAATCTTCTCTCCCATCTGCCTGTGCATTTGTGTGCGTGTGTGTAGGTGTGTGTGTGTGTGTTCTTGCTGCAGCAGACTGACCTGGCTTCTTGTTGACATCAGCTGTGAACAGCCAATCAGCCGCCTTCTTGGCATCTGGTCCAGTGAGATAGAACTTTCCAAAGTAGGACATGTCAAACACGGCCACACCGTTTCTACATGAGAGGCACTCACTCTTAATCTGCATTTCAAACAAACAAACAAACACACATATCCAATTAACGGAGACCCTGAAATTAAATAAAAGTGTCTTCCTCTCTTTGTCAAACATGACTAAATGACTGTATTTATATCTGGAGCCAGATCCTTGAAGGAAACAGCTGTGAAAAGGGGAGCAGTAATAAAGAAGTTCTGACGTCAAGGTGGCTGATTCTCCCTTGTGGTGTGTCCTCTAAGCTGCTGACTTAGTTTGATATGCACATTATGCCCCATCAATCTCACTGACTGTACTTCCATCACTCTCATTTGTCTATGATTGTTATTTCCCTTGAGGACGCATGTCTTTCCTTATGGGAGCCTTCAAAGTGTGTTTATACTCAACTGGCGAGTAGTTTGGCCCATACTTCTTTGACAAAACAGGAAGTTGCATGCAATTTAATAACATTGTTCTGCTGAATAACACACTCAATTTTACACTTGGTACCTTACCACGTCATGATGTGGAGGGAAGTCAAAGGTGTACTCCTTGCCCAGCAATTCGTTGTATTTGTAGTTCACATTCTTCTTAATGTCATAAGCCCCATAGTAATCATAGTCTTTAACCTTTGCGATAATAAAGACAAACCAATAGTTAGAGGCTAATTAATCATCAGCGTTTCCAAGTACAAGAGAGGGACAAAGCGTGAAAAAATAGCATCTTAATTGTTCTTGTCTTTCCAAGTGCCTTTTGTCAATATGTAGATGTAAATAAATCACTTTCATGCATGTGCTTGCGTACAGTATATACAGTATGTACGTAGTGTAAGAGTGTTTCTCACAGGAGCGGGCTTGCTTTTGTTGAACCAGCCAGGTCTCTCCCACCCATGTCTCTCCTGGAAAACACAGCCCTGTTCCGTCAGCACCTACGACAAACAATCACACAAACAAAGAGATAAAATCAGTACAGAGAGAAAAGGCCGCTGATAAGGTTTATTATTAAGTGTTCATTTTGGAATCATTGCACAAAAACATATGCCAAAGTTAAGAAATGGGGATGTTTTGGATTTTAATTAAAAGCATATATTCACAGCATTATTTTGATATTCAGCAACTTCACTCTTCATTATCGAAGTATCGAACAAATCATAGCTGCTGCATTTTGTTGTTTTTTTAAGTATTTAAGCAGCACTAATTGATTTTGGGGGTGGCAGAAGAAGCTCTAACTACAACATCAACATATCATAATTTAATGAAGTTATTATTGGAAACTTGCTAGCAAACATTATATCTAACAGATCAATCAAACAGAAGTGATGGTAGAAACCCTCTTTTAGCACAAACAGTTGCAAATATAGTGCACTTGTTAATTCTTGACCAGCGCTGAAATAAGATATTTCAGCACTTACCATCCTCCTTGTTAAAACTGACAGTCGCCCACAGTTGGTAGGTATGTTCTGCTATGCTCTCTTCCTAGCAGGCAGCTAGCTGTCTCTTGCCAAAACTTCCCACACCATGCTATATTTACCATCCGTGCTACCGAGGTGGAGAAAACGTGTAAGCAGCAGTGTCAGAGATGGCCTGTTTGTGCTCTGAAATAATCTTGTGTTGCCTCCTAAAAGTAGAAAGTATTTGCACAGGGACAGCTTCCTTGGCTGATCAAACTCCTGAAGTACCTCTCAGCCATAACACATGCAGTCGTGATTAGGAGCATGAGCCAGTATGGTGAACAGAAGCTCTTTTTAAAAATAATGATTAGACTTTTTAGGTGTTTTTTCTTCTTCTCTCTGCCACCCCTACATTTGTCTAAGGCTCTCCATCAGCAGGAAAGCTAGTTGCTAGGTGATGGCCCTCGACGAGTGATTAGCAGGGGTCTAATGGGTGTGCAGAAAAGGGTTGGACCAACCCAGTCTCACAGAGACTGTGCTCTCCTTTGAGTCTTCAAGTCTGTCTACCTGAGAGCAGCTATTTGTGTCTTTTCACTGCTAGCATATAATCTGGTGCCATACAAAATACTGAAAATAACATAATAACACCTGACCTGGCTGGAAAAAGCTGAAAGGATTTACGTCTTGTAGTGTTGTACAACAGGACATTAGATTTGCCACAGGCGTCTGAAAATAACACTGCATGCTGACACAATCTAGTGTCCATCAGCAATGGGTATTACATTTCGTAATGGCAATGACACACAGAGGCTATATAAATATTTCCCAAATAGATCCCAAATTACAAGAGGTCTATAAATATTTGCGAGGACATTTTACACCGTACTGGAATACAAAAGTGCAGCAAAATCTGGCCAGGATGCATAATGTTGTGCCATTTTTCATGTATCGATTTCTATCTGTAGCAAGCAACACATCTAACAGTACCTGGATGTGATAAAACTGCTTTTTGCCATCACCCACCACCACTTCCCCTCTCCATCCCCAAATACAAAGGTCACAAATTGGCATCCCATTCCAACCCGGGTCTATAATCAATAAATTACTGACAATCATTCAATATCGATGGGGTGTTTCTATTTTGAGCTGCGCAACTTTTCTATCCTTTACGACACTGGTTTAATGGCCCAGGAAATTCACAGACCAGTTGCAGGTGCTGTAAATGATCTCATGTGATGCTACTCCGAAAATCTGTGCATTCAATTAAGCATTACGACTCGAGTCAGTGAGTGAGATACACACACAGGGAAGAGACAAGGGACAGCAGTCGGAGAAATAAGTGAGTCAGAGAAAAGTAATTTCACATTGTATGCTCTAAAAACAGAAGAATTTCCTCAAGCAAAGGTCAGGGACATCATAACGTCTAACTTGGGTTATGAACTCATTGATCCTTTATCTAACTGAGGTTAGTTCAACTTTAATGGCCCAACCATCACTCTGAAATATCGGTAGCTAAGTAACTGTGCTGTGTATTGATAAATCCATGCCGCTGTCCGTGGTGCTGAAGTAGTAGCATTTGTTGCGCCTTTAACTCTCAGTCCTGCCCTTCTGTCATCTTGGAGCTATAATATTCTTTAACTATACAGCTTATATAACAGGTTACTCAGGTTAGATCTCCTCATTGCACAATAGCAATGTGAAGACCAGTTCTTTTAAGTAACCTGCTCCCATCAGGCCATACCCCTGTTAAAAATTAACAAACTGCCTTTTGCAAAGGAGTAATAAACTGAGCTTTTTGTTAAGGTACAAGAAAGGCTCATAGTTTGGGGGATAAAAAAAGAAAAGAAAAAAGGAGCAGATCAGTATAAAACTAATTTAACAGAAATTTTCATCCAAAACAAATCTTAAAATTGTTGTAACGTATCACCATAATACACAGTAACCAAGGTCTACCTACCATGTGTATAGCTCAGAAAGAATAAGTGATAGAAAGTGAAGAGAAAAACAGTTACACTATTTGCATAACAAAATATATTTAAATCAGATTTTTGATTTAATTGATCCAAAGTGTAAATAAATTTTTCTTGAAAATGTAAAAATGTGTGAGGACACATAGGACACGAACTGAAAACTATTTTTAAAAAGTTAGCACGCCTTCATGACCTTGCTCATTCTTTTTTTTTTTTAAGTATTTTTTTTTTTCGGCTTTTATGCCTTTATTTGATAGGACAGCTGGAGACAGACAGGAAAGGGGGGCATAGAAGGGGGATGACATGTAGCAAAGGGCCGCAGGTTGGATTCAAAACCCTGGGACGCTGCAGCAATAACCGGGCGCCGACTTTGCTCATTCTGTACAAAATCTTTTAAAAATCTTTGGAAAAATCTGGTTAATTATGCATGAAAGATGTCAGGAAAGCTAAATAAAACAAGCTCTCAGATAGCAGTAGACATGATCTATAAAATACATTGAAAACATTGCTAATGCAATTTTGTGTGACAGTAATCTTTTCTGAAAGAATGCCTGCATGCATGAGCGGGGGTAGAAATTGCAACAGTTAAAAGGTAAATGAAGCCTGGAACAGGAAAGCAAGGCAAGGCTAAGTGGGTCATTAATGCATAAAATATGGTGGCAAGGCCCATTAAGGGTTTGTGTTGGGCTAAGGAGAGAAAGAAAGCTGAAAGACATCCGAGACTTAAACTAAGTGTATCATTTATAGCCATGTTGGCACGGATCGCATTAATAAATGTAGCTGCCGGGGATAAGTTACACTGCTAACTGCTGTCTGCCTGAGCCTGAATCAGCTATTTCCCTTTAAATTTGAGTGGAGAACACAGGAGAAGAAAGAGAGAGAGGGGGAGACAGAAAGGGGTGACAGAGAGATAAACATACTGAGAGAGATGGAGTCAGTTTGACAAATGATATTTTTGATCTTCACACTTGTATTACCAGTACTTCAAGACAAGCATGGCAAAATATTCAATGAGAAGACCTGAAAGCACACACACAGTCGGTTCTACATTCCTATTTACAACTTAAGCGCACCCTATTTAGCGTTCAAGCCAGTACAACCTGGGCTTTTCAGCAGCATTATTTATATGTTGATTTGCTCTATCAACACCTTACTGTCTCAATTATCCAATCAGATGCTGAGGTTAAAGAGGTTAATAGAGGGAACGAAACAGCGGCAACGCTTTTTCTGTCACACAAAGTACAGACTGTAGCAAGAACAAAGAGTGTGCGAACCAGAGGAAGAGAGAAAAAGAGAGACTGACATCCAGTATGAATAGCAGGATGAATAGAAGAGACAATTGTGCTGGGGAGGATGTCCAAAAGAGAGAATACCAAATGAGAAACGGATAAGTGAAGGCAATGGTACATTCATGGGGGAAAAAAACATAGGAGAAAAACAGTGACTCATACAACCTCTAAAACTATATGAAGTTTTCAAGTTATCTGGTCAAATAATGGCAGTGGAGAAGCTCCTGTGGCTCAGAGAGGTGAACAGGTTTCATCTATGTTAGGAAAGCTTGTCGATACGGGTCCAGAACGTTTCCCCTCAGCTACGCAAAAGCCAAAAGGTGTCTGCCAGTCTAAATCCTAAGGGGTACACAACACTGCCTATACTTTTTGACAAAAAAAGCCTACCTAACTTAAGGTGCTTTACTAAAGCCAAGATTGTACTGTAAAATAAAATGTGGAAAATAAATAAATAAATAATCTTAATATAATATGGTCTTCTAACCTTTGGGGAAAAGCAACAGAACAAGAGAACACTGTTGCTGTTTTTGATTGATTTCCTCATAACACTGAACACAGTACACTGTGTTTTTGTATACTGTCCTTGAATTGTGAATTTGTTTTTCTAATTTTACAGTCTGACAATATTCTCCAAAAATATGAAAACTTGTATAGAAGTATAAAATTTAATCAAATTAATGAGTAATCTGTTCATAGTTCTTTTCATTCTTGTTTTCTATCATCTATTGGTTACATGTACAGATGCAAAAAATGTTGGATTTTTAGTTCTTTGCCAATAAAACCTGCGGGGCCTCAACTTAAATGCCTGCACTGGAGGTCAAACCCGCTAATCTACCTGATGGAAGGGGTCTTTCCTCATGTTTCGGCTGGCCAGTGGTTCATCAAAGGGGAACACCACAGAGTAGTTCTTGGCGTAAGACTCGTGGCTCCTCTCTCGGATCCAGCGTTGGTTGTCTGTCAGCGAGTGATGGAAACGTCTGAGAAGTAAGTCACAATCATTCAGACTTCATTAAAACTTCATGGTTATTCTGGTTCCTGCTGCCCTTTAATAAATTGCCAATCGGACCCTTAAAACCATGTTCTGCTTTGTAGGGCACCACACCCATGTCACTTGCTGCCACTGCTCAAATACGTTGTGTGCACTGATGTACCTGATGTCGTAACCATACATATCCTTCTCAGGGCGCCCATGTATGATCCAGTGAGCCAGCTCTCTACCACAACCACCTCCCAGCATCATACCTGACAAAAACACACATACAGGAGATGGAAATTGTCATGAACAGCATCTCATAATCACATTCAGTTTCTTATAGAAAACACATAAACTACAGTGCTGGAGTCATTGTTTAGTCGATGAAATGTCAGACAAGATAGAAAAATGCCCACTTGAAAAAACTCCCAGAGGCCAAGGTGACAGCACATTTTTGGACTGATTATCAAAAGAAAAAACAAAGATGGGCCTGTTTCACTATTTTCTGATATTTTATAAATGAAATTATTCAGAAACTAACAAAAAAATCAAACTAACTTATGATGAAAATGATGACCGTTCTTTTTATCCAAATCTAACACATTTCTGGATCCACAGTTGCACAAGCACTAGTTGGGAAATGAGAGTGGAAAATCTGAACAAAAAACAGGACCTCTCTCAATGATGGCCTGTCTAGAGGACTGCGAGTTCGTCTCATTAATTTGGAGAAGAGAAGAGCAGTTTCTGTCCTCTGCTACAGCCTCTATATGTCATATGACCTACAGAGGATTGTTTTGACCTTTGTTCCGTCATTTGACCCTCGCTCACAGCTGCCCCTGAGCAATCTGACCTCATCAGCTGCACCCGACGGCTGCAGCATTCTATTTATTTCAACTCCACCATGGAACACTGACAATTCAATATTTTATCCATCCAGTCCCAAAACTGCTGGGTTAATGAGCTGTTCCCTTTTAGCAACCCCCTTCTTGTGTTGCTGGTAATTTGCATACATCGTGTATGCGTGCGTTGGTGCGTGTGTGTTTGTGTGTACATACATATACACACTCTGATACATCACTATGCAGCAGCACGAGCAGTGTGTCCTTGCATTCGTGCTCCATCCCTCAATCACCTCTCACGGCATCCTCTCTCCCTCCATCTCTCACTGCTTCACTCTTCTGTGGGCAGTGTCACTTCGGGCCAAGCCTGGGTTGGCGTTTGAATGGCGGGATGGATGGATGGATTGGAGCAAGGGGTGGAGAGACAGAGGAAAGGGGGGTGGTTGGGGTATGATGGAGTTCGTACTAGACAATGTTGAGACAACCAGCAAGGCGCGGTGGCGCTGACAAATGTCACCCGAGATAACCGCGCTGATGTGTGAGCGTGTATCGGCTTGTGAACCCTCATGCTCGTGCTTCCAGTCATCTTATCATCACCTCCTTCCTGCCTTTGTGCTTCCCCTTTCCTCACCCGCTATCGGTATCTTGCTCTATTATTGTTCGTTTATGCTTTGCAAACATTTGTTCCTTTCTATGACATTATCTACTGGGCCCTCTCCTCTCTTTTAAACATAATCTCTCTCTCCCTTGCTTCTGACATTTACAGTGATGCTGCTAGCAATTAAAACATGCTTTGAAAGAGGGAGAAAACATATAAATTTTTTTCCCCTTCTCCACCATAGTAGCCCAGTAAGCATCTTGAGCACACTTTGGTCAAACAGCGCTAAATTTGGTGCGTTCTAGGTTACAGCTAAAGGAATAGATAAAAACATTTTAGAAAATGCACTCACCAATCTAATGTCTGAATGTAAAGTATGGAGTTGGAGTCAGGATTTGTTTAGCGTAGCTTAGCACAATGATTGGTGGCAGGGGGAAACTGCTAGCTTGGTTATGTCCAAAGTTCAAACCTTTGGCTATGAGCATCAATATAGTTAACCTATTCAAACAACAACATAATTCAACTTATGCTTATGTGCAGCATTTGGAGCCATGGTGCAAGTTGGCAGATACTGTTGGTGAACACAGGTTTTGGTCTGTTCACCAAAATGGTACCAAACCTGACAACCTCACTGTGCGTGTACACAGGGAAGCTGCACAGCTTCCCTGTGTACACGCTCACTGTGCCCAGTCGTTGTTTGCCAAGAAGTAGTTCCAGCGCGTACACATGAGATAAATAAACAAAACACATCCTGTAAATAAGTCCACTTTAGACCATAAAAAGCCAATTTGGGATATATGCTTATTCGATTACTGGCTGAGAATTAATGAGACATGTCTGATATAAAGCTACAGTTGTAAGATAGTCAGCTTAGCTTAGCTTAGCATAGCATAAAAGCTGGGGAAAAACAGCAGCCGGTCTCCATCCAAAAGTGTACCAGCTTCTACAGTCACTGAAATACTATAACACGCACTTTATTTAAGAGGCTGGGACATATTATCACCTGTAAATTAAGATCACTGTGTCAAGTCCTTGCCTTTTCCTTCTTTTTTTTTATAAGGATTCAAACTAGCTCCTCTTTAGGCCTTCCATTACTACCACCCCTTCTATTTATCTCTCTATCCTCATCTTCCACCTCAGTGAAACTGCAGCAGATGAGTCTCATTCCTATTTGTGTCACTATCCTAGAAAAATAATATGCCACTGAACCCAGTGGTTATTTCAGAGTTCAGAGTTAATTGTTTACTACCTTGAACACAAGCAATTTTCTGTGTCTTATAATGGGATAAAAAGCTTCAGATAGCCATAATAACTGGGAAAGTGCTCATTATTATGATTATCAGCAAGATAGTGATGCAGCTGCGTAAGAGGTGCAGCAGTTAAAAGCAATAAAAGAACCATACTCACAATAAATAAATGCACTCAAAGCTAAGAGCTGAGCTTGATGTTTCTGACTATAATAAAGGAAATGTAACTTAATGTTGCTAGGCAACAAATACAACAGAGTAAGCAGTTACTGACTAGAAACGAAAATGAACTCCAACAACTAAAACAACTAAAAACTGGAGGCTGAAAAGCTTACCAAGCACTCAATGATGGATTTCTTAATGTGAATGTGTCAACATGTATCGACCCTGTGGTGCCTGAATTACCCCACTTGTCTTGCCCCGCCTTGAGCTAAATAAGCTGTATGAGCTCGTGTGTGCATTTTGTGTGTGACGGAATAAAATGGACAGAAGACTTTTCCCTTGCCAGAGGGAGAAAGAGGCAAGGGGGGGATATGAATGACTAACATACAGAGAGGGAAAAAGGACGAAATGGGGACAAATGGACATTACCAAGCCCCTGCTTTGATAAGACTAGTATATTTTGTTTGTGTATGTGTGCATGTGGAGTACAAATGCCTGTGTGTCAGGCTAGTCGAAGGCATTTGGGCCATCCTTCCTGTGCATGATCGATGGAAAATCCCTAATAATCAAGTCACCGTACCAAGTGCAATACAATCGGTGACACCGGTTCCATTTCAATGAGCCTGGGCACAGCATGATACTTTAGAACACAGACTTAAGGGCGAGGTGACTGCAATATTTTATCCACCTCCATTTAGATAGGAATGTTACACTTTTATTTGCATAAAGTAGAATAAAAAGAAAAATGTACATAGTTTGAAAAAGGGCTTATAAAGGGCTTAAAAAGGGCAGGATTATTTTTATTAACATTATTTGTCTGTACAATTTGTTTTGGATTAATCATTTAATCTATAACTAACGCAAAATAGTGAAAAATTCCCATCACATTTTCCCAAAGCTCAAGGTGATATTTTCAAATTAAAAATGTAATAGTTTTGAATATGAAATGTTCAATTTGTGCTGGCACTAAAATATCTCCATAGAAAAGAGGATATGATAAATTGCTAACTCGACGATGGATAACAAGATTATAACCGATCTACGATCAGACTGATGGACAGGATGAGTGTCTCATAAATAAGTGCTTAGAGAATAAGAGTGACAACAGCAACAACCAATCAGCCATTTGCACGAACTTAGCATCCAACAAAACCTACACTTTTGAAGCAAAAAAACAACAGAAGGCGTTGTGTGTGACTGTTGATAAAAATATATGCTCACTCATTAGCACTCCACCTCCCAAGCTCTTGTCATAACAACTTCAGAGCTTGACCCTGTAATCTTTTGCTCTTATGCAGAAAAAGCTTTCTCTCAACTGTCTGTCAACGCTGACAGCGATTACTTTGCCCTTTACGCCCCCTCTCTCTATGTTTTTCAGATTGCTGAGATACTCACATTCCACCCTGTCTAATGTCAGAGGTAAGCTAATGGAGTAAGTAACTAATGGAGTGACTTGGTTGCTGTTTGTATGTGTGTGTGTGTGTGTGTGTGTGTGTGTTCTCCGTGGACCTGAAATGAAAAGCACTCCATTATTCATTTGTGCCTTGAGTGTCCACAGAGATAGGCGATGGCCGGGTCAAAGTCTAGGAAAAACACTCCTCGGCCATTTCTACTTGCTTGTTTTCTTCCCGTATATTGTGCCATACACTTTCTTTTAAGATTCCGTTGACCTTTCTAGCCCTATCATTTTATGGTTTCCTCAAGGGAAAGCTCTATGCCATGAAGTATTTGAAAGCATACGGCCGTGAGTGATATGTATCGTCTGTTTTAGGTAAAGATTACGATGTCGGCAATCTTTTCACTCTCATCCTTGTGCACTCCTCGTTTCTCTCCCTCTCTTTTCTTTTGTTTCTTTGTCTTCTCTAATGCTTTCTTCGATTTTTCCATTCCTGCAGCACTTACCAGCACTGTTGAAGCCACAGCCCAGGAAGAAACCTCTGACTTCTGGGGCTTCTCCCATCAGCGGCTTATGGTCTGCTGTGAATGATTCTGGAAAGGGAAAGCGAGAGAAACTTTGTCGATTAAAAGTGGCAACAAATTGTAAGACAGACAAACCTATATAAGGCCAGGTTTTAACATGTTGATGTGGAGATATGTTTGAAGGCATGGAACGATGTAATGTACGAATCACACACACACACACGTATTATAACAGATCTACTTAATTGCAATTTTGACCTTAATGGTAAACCAACCTTTTGAAGGTCTTTGAAGTGCAACACCTTTCTACTGTATGTTTTCTATGCTCTGAAGGGCATAGGGTACTTGTAGAACTCATAACACTCTGATCACGGTTGAGATTTCTGCTGCATTTTTCCTGCTCTCTCCTCAAGGAAACGGCTGAGGACCAAGTAAGTGAAAAGTGCTCAACGCGGTGTACTGGTTGTGTAAACAAAACACTTGAAATGAAACAAAAGCCAGCCTTAAAATGAGGGTCACAGGAGAGGAGATGGCTCGCAACAACAACTGGACTAAACCCTGAGCTTCCTCTACCTCTGAGCTCAGTCATTCTCAACCTTCATTTATTTTTCTTCCCATCATGGTCCGTATTCCATTTCTCACATTTTGTTCGACTCCTCTCTCTATTTCCTTCTTCACATCTCTACTTATGCTATCATTTGTCTTTCTTCATTATCTCCACTACTTCACAAATTCTACTTTTCTCTGTTTATGCTTTGCAGTTTCCTTCCCTCTTTCTCAGATTTCTTTCTCAATTTCTCTCTTCCTCTGATCATTCATCCATATCTGTGACTATATTTTTGTGTAACTGTACGTTTCAGCTCAGCTCAGTCATTTGCTTCAGTTCACAAATTCATTCTGACTCTCCAAACAGCTGCATCACACGATGATGATGAAAAATCTATTTGGATACTGTAACTTTTCAGGCTGCACAGCTACAGACCGGCTCACTCAACCTTGCGGTAATGTGTTACAGCTTGAACAGGAAGCCGGGGATCAAACTATCTCTACACACATGACACACAGGCTGCTAGTTTAGGTATTCATGAGCAAATGCAGTATGGGAGCGGTGCATAAGACATTTCACATACGGATACATTTCACTTTTAAATTAGAATGTGTCCAATTTAAGAAGTGTCATGAAAGTTGCTTGTTCCCTGCTGTAATGCATAATGTTATAATACTTAATACTAATAAGAAGGGCTTGCACGAGTTTCACAAAAATGTATGCTTCAGTGGAACTGGTGTGTTTGTGTGTTTGTGTGTGTGTACGTGTGCGTGCGTGTGTGCGTGTGTGTGTCTGAGACTACCTGGTCCGCAGACAGTGGACTTGATGCCAGTCTGCTCCAGGGCAGGAACTCTGTTGATTGCACCCTCAATATGTTGCGTGAATACATCCCAGTCCAGGTCAAACAGGCTGAAGGCAAACTTATCAGACACCTGGCAAATAAAACACAAATACATGACTTACTTTACTTTACTACTTTAAACAGATTTTTAAACTCTTTGACAGTTATATAGTATATAATCTATCCTGCAGAAAGAACACATTGATGTTTAATATAAAGGAAGAAAATTTTAGAAAATGCATATTAGTGATTATGAACCAAATAAGCAATAAACAAAACAAAAAAACAAGTAAGATTACACAGTGCTTGTGTAGAAAATTGTGTATTTTTGTGTCTTAGATGATTTATTAAAAAATAACATAAATTCCAGGATTTATTTTAAACCTGCAATAACTTCCAATAACAATACGCAGTGGAAACAAGTTGTAAATAAAATATAGACACATCATCATCTTCTTTTTTTATCAGTTGGTATATTTATATCAAATTTGTCACACATCCAGTAGTTGTAGAGCAACATTGAAATTAATTTGGAGTCATGTTTCTGGCCATGTGAGTAGTGCAATCCCAATATTCACTCTCTTTGAGCTATTTTTAGTCTCTACTGGCTCTTGAGGAAAAATTATCTATAGGTTCATCAATACGAGTGACCACTTTTACATCGTCACATTCTAATTTTTTTGTATCAAACACCAGATATACTCTAGCTCTGTCTGTTTGTATTCCCCACAAAATGAATCTACACCACTGCAGTGGATTGCTGGATGTTCGATGTTGGTGCACCACCTCAAAGTCAATGTCTTTGAGTTGAATGACCCTTTTTCCTTTTTATTCCTTATCACTTTTGACAAGAACACTGTAAATTCAGTCCAAGTCAACACGTGACTGTAGAAAGTGCCAGATGTGTGAGGACGACACACACTGCAGCCAAAACACAATCCTGTAGCATCTGTTGAATCAACTCTCTCTCACCAGGGAATCAACATCTGTCAAATCAGACCTTTCCCTCTCAGTTCCCAGTCCAAGCTTTAATTTGCTCCCATCTGGACTTCTGTAACTCCCTCCTTGTCAGCCAGGCCAAAATGGAGCCTTTAGCTCCTACAACTCATGCCAAGTAGTGCAGAGCGCCTCGCCTTAAAACTCCTTCCTGCTACACTAATCTGACTGACTCAGGGTGCTCAATTTAAAAAGTCCAGCACACCAGCTTGTGCTCTGTGCAGCGATTTTATCAGGCATGTATTTCTCCCTATATCCTGGCACTGATCTGGTTATCCCACCACTCGAACTTGACTCTTCTCCATCTTGGCTCATGATGAAATGCAATTCCCACTTCCCAGAAAAGCAGTCAATCTCTTATTTTTAGACGGCAACTGTTCTGAGTCACTGCAAACAAATACCACACTGGATAATATCAACCTACCACCCTTAATTTTAAATATATATTAGGCACAATTGATTCTTTAAGTCAGAAGTCTGCAGAAATACTGAGGGAGAAAGGAGTTCCTATGGCCTTACAATTTGCGTCAGTGGTGACACTTTCAGTTTCTATTAAGACTTGAACGTTACAGGGATGTGCAAGCTGACGGTAGCTGCTTTCATGTGAACAAAGAGTTTCTGTATTATTACCGAGCACTGACACTCAACTGGAGTATCTAAAGAGCAGTGTTCTTTGTCCTAGACACCACACTTCTCTCAATCCCTCCCAAGCCATCGATCCTGCTCATCTTCACTCAGCCTGCATTCTCTATTCTCTCCATCTCCCTGCTAATTCTCCATTCTGTATCTCCTCTTTCTTCCTCCATCCGCCTCAAGACATCAAAGCAATGCTCAGCTGCTTCTGCGAACAAAAGAAGCTGCTTCTGCAAAAAAGAAATCCTCTAAAATGTAAAACCACTGAGGAGTCTGTGGACCGGCAGGCAGCCAGACGGAGTCAGTCAGTCTGACAAGAAAGAAGATATTATCAGTGTCCTGCAGAACCCCAATCTAATGCCTTTCATGAGAAACTGAAACTTAATATTGTTCTAGTATTTAATTTTTTTGGGCGTGATAACTTTTTATCAAAGACTGAGAGATATCTTTTGTTTAGTTTGTTTCTACAAGTTGTACCACTTAAATGTATTTTTGATATGGCTCATTCTTAAACATGAGCAGGTTGAATAGATAGAAATCTTTACTTGTAAATGGTAGGGATGCAGGATTACAGTGTAAGAATAAATGAATAAATCAAACTGGAATTCATGAGGAGTGAAAAGTTATAAATGTGGAACCCTTGGACAGGAAAAAGATAAGATGCCTGCCACCAAACCTTCCAGCCCAGTTAACAAACTACTATAAAAACCTGTCTTTGAGATAGAGCACACATCCATTTAGACCACCTGTCGATTCAAAGGCTTTTATAAAAGATCAATCTCCAAAGTCAACCACCCCTTCAAAGAGTCAGTGTGTGCATGAAAAAACGCTTGTACGATTACTTTTTATAGCTGCCAAGGAGTTGTTTGAATAATTTGTCTTCACAGCCTTTTGTAATTTCAGTCTTTTACAGAAATGCTTTGGTTTTAATGTTCCAATAAAAAGCGATTTCACCAGTAGTGGCTTCAAAAACATACGGTTTGTGGGTGGTGCTAAAAGAAAAGCTATGGGGTCATTAAAATCCATGGGTTTATCTCTCTTGGGGCATGTATTAAACTCATCAATCTGCCTATAATAAATAAAATATCTAGTGTGCAGGCAATAAGACACTTCAGTTTTACCATGGATGACTACACAATACCTTTTTGATAAAGTACGGATTTGATACCCAGCCTGAGGATTAGGCCTGTGGACACCTTATTTCTTTACGTTTATATTCAGTATAACAACTTTGCCTCAATGCTTGACTTGCAATGTTGTTTGTACTTTGCATTTGTGTACTTTTTTCAGATGATAGGATTGATACCACTCTGTGTTTATGTTGGTTGTCTAAATAAGGAAGCTAGAATGAGCAGCCAGTTAGCTTAGCACAAAGACTGTAAAGAGAAACTCTGTCCAAAATGAATCCCCAGGAAAACCACAACATTTAAGATTAAACCACTGACAGTATTTAATTAGTGGATAGCTCTTCCAGGTCTGTGAAGTGAAGCCAAGTGTCTTAAACCTAGATTATTTCTTATGGCCAGCAGGGGGCCACTCCATTGGATGCAAGAAAAAAAGTATTTAGCAAGATAGTATTTAGTCTTATAGGGAAATTACCCTACTTTTCATTTGATTTATTACCACTGTAAAAAGTTTCCTTATGATTCTACGGTCTCAGTTGGTAGTTTCAAGTCTTCATCCATACAGCATGATGTTCAGGTTAGGCTGTTTATTTCTAGTCTTTATGCTAAGCTAGGCTACAGACACGTGAGTGGTATCAATCTTCTCACCCAACCCTTGGCAAGAAAGCAAGTAAGCATATTTCCTATAATGTCAGACTTTTTCTTTCTGGAAAATGTTACTTATATTTACTTTTACTTGAATGCAGGACTTAGTATATTATTCATTATTATTATGCAACTTTTACTTAAATAAAAAGGACCTGTATTTTTTCTTCCACCACTCTGGGAAATAAAACTGCACACATACACCCACACACAAACACACACACACACACACACACACACACACACAATTTTATGAGTCCTGTTAGGAATACCGTTTGACCTCCAAGCTAATACAGTAGCAAGTAATTAATGACAAGCGAATGAAAAACAGACTAAATAAGATATAAGGTCAAACTGACGGAGAGAATGAAAAGTCTCTAAACAGGATTAAACTTTATTCGGCTTCCTAATTGATGTATTTGATTTTATGTCAAACAAGACGGACATTGCGTCATGCCTCTCCTTAAGGTTTCAAAGTCTCAAAGCTATCGACAGAGAATACGATGGTTAATCATTCAGAGAATATTCAAGCTCACCTCATCCCAGAAGATGGGGTTTTGTTCATAACCACCCACAGACAGGGCATCACCTTGGAGGCGCAGGTACACTGATGCATCATGGTCCCTGACATTTGGCATGTTCTGCGAAGACCGGAAACATTTAAAACATTAAATTAGTCCAAACACATTGTGCCGTAGTCACAGAATGATGAGCAGATTAAATATCATTAACAAGAGGAGGATGAATTTTTATTCATCAATTAACTGAAACATAATAGCAAATGCACATCACAAGTTATTACAGGCTCATTCTTTATCTAAAAAAAATGATTACTTTGTTTGATTGGCAGCTACAACTGTAGAAAATTAATTCATAATGAAAAGACACAAAGAAAGCCAAGCTGATGGCAACATATTTAAAGCTCTACCACCAAAATGCTCTCTTTTTAAAAGTTATCACAATTCATGGTTAATTTTATGTCAGTCAATGAACGGATTAATTTCAGTGTAACTTTTCTTATCACAACAGAACCAAAAATAGGACCATTATATGGGGGAAATTTGGTGAAACGAAAGGGAAATTACCATGCTGTTCTCATCGTAATAAAGCAGATTTTCCCTTTACTCTGCCCAGATTCTCAGATGGCATTTAGTGCTTTTTGTTACTTTACACAATGCCGTATGTACAGAACAGGATATACAATATGGGACATAACAAGCATAAAAATCTTTACAGCACCAGTGGAACATACCCTGACATACCTTAACAAACCATAGTGTTTTTTTTAATGTATGGTATGGCAGCTACTGACATAGCATGAAATCTTCTTTCAAAACACAAGAGAGAGGAGCATTTATCCCCTTGAGTCACAGTAAACATTCTTATAGAAGTGTCTAATGAATAGTTTCACTTTAAGTATGTTGTGTCATTTGTATTCATTCCGTCACAAGCACTTTTCATTCGAAAGTCGATTGGCTCTCTGGGTACAAAACCAAAATACCAGTGAACAAGCTGACATTTGGAAAAAGGCGCACATCATATAATAAAAGTCAAACTGCTGTTTCCCTCTCTTTCAGTGCAGTCCATACTCCATGTGATCAATACTGAGCACTGGACTTCAATACACCCTGTACTCACGCAGATGTGAAAAACATACACCACTTATATCAGCAAGCTTGGTTCCTTTTTATATTTAAATCAAGTACAACCTTCAAGGACAAAACACATCTATATTCACACACAGACATGCGGTCAGCATGAGATGTTTGACCTGACAAGTTGCACACCCTGGTGGGAACAGATTTCCTGATGGCATCCGAGTGTGTGAGTGTGTCATTTAGTGTGTGGGTTGCCTGTGTACATGATGTAGCAGTAATGCTGGTTAAGCTGCTCTTAAACTACATAACACAGGGAAGCTCTGACAGCCCGTCTAAAACCACCGGCCTTTAGAGGATGAGCCCAGTCATGCATGTGTACACTAACTAAATCTAACACAGGCAAGAGCCACGATCACAGAGCTACAGTGGATCATGCACACAGGCCATGTCAGACATGTGTTATATCTGCACACAGAGGCCTCCCCCCAATGGCCCCCACACCAAAATACACAACTTATGAGCATTAAAGGATAGAAAGAAAACAATCTCCACTTCTCTCACACACAAACAAGCACACACATCTCATTCCAACACTCACTAACAGTCTGAACCATTAGAGGTGGAAATCTATAATGTCACAGTGCCCCCTGTTGTTCATACAGACTTAATACAGACAGATGAAAGAATTTCCCTCTCCATGGGGAATTAATTGAATAGCAAAATCTAAGTTACAGTAGTACTTTCTATGAGGATGCCTGAAGTGTATGAATTGAGACATCTATTCTTAATGAATTGTGACATCTTACAATAGCTGTCACAAGGTAATAGTGGCATTGTATCTGAGGATAATTCGATTCTTCTGGCCTATTTTCTGAAGGTTGTTAGAAACATTATGGTGCATTATATTATTATAAAAAATAACAAAACAATGAACTCATCTTATTTTCAAAAAGGCAGCTACATTATAATGCAAACTCTAAAATGTTAATGCTTACTTTAAATTACATTTTTCAGAATGAAAAGTGCAGAAAATATACAATACTCTAAAACAGAGTACATTAAACAAAGTCCACACACTACATAGACCCCAGATGTATGTTTTGTATTGTATACAGGCAGAAGTGAAGAGCAATACAGCTCAAGTCATTTGGTCGAGTTAATAAAATTCACCTTGCAGATTATTCTAAAATTAGAATATCCCCATACTGAGACAAACATAAGTAGCATAATCAGGAGCCTCTTCAATCTTCTGGTGTCTTGTATTGACAACAACACAACAATTTTAAGACACAGATTTGCTCCACAGGTCAGCATTTTCTTTCAGGATATGAAACTCTAAAAGCAATAACATATAACAATATAAAAATCATACCTGCCATTTGCTAGCACACTATGGGGGTCTAAAGAACATCGTACCAATGGTGGACTTTATTTTTAATACAATATAATAATATGAACCACAGTCTAATAGACAGACAAATAGAGGTTTTACCTGTATGCCTTCGATTCTCTCTGTTACCACATAAGCGTGATGCATCGCGATAAGAGGCACCTTGACTCCGGCCATTTCCCCCAGCTTGGCGGCCCACACACCTGCATGTAACACACAGAGACAAAAATGTAATAAAAATGCCACACACAATTCTGAATAAAGGCAATTTGGTCAAAAATACCTGTAAAATTGTACTAAATTGCTTATTTTGCATTAAGTGTCAAAAGTCTATGCCAGGGCTACAGTTGGCCCGCTGTAAGGGTCAGGCCTCACAAGCAGAGTAACAAACGATTTTTCTGAGACGGACTTTAATGGCAAAACGTTACCAGCAGAATTACTTTCATTTACATGTCAAATAAAAGAAAAATCCTTTTAACCTGAGGTACTGCTGTCTTTGGAATGATTATTCAGCTGCCCCTGAATCTCACCTGCACAGTTCACCACACAAGGTGTCTCAATGGTCCCATGAGGGGTCTCCACTGCCTTCACCTTCCTCATGCCAAAGTCATCTGTTCGCACTTGGATACCAGTCACAGGGCAGTTCTCGATCACCTGATTTAAAGAAGATGGTGTGGAGTTATTTACATGCAACATGGAGATGGTGCATATGCTCTGCTCCACCCATGCAGGAGTCCCAGTATGTAATGTACATCAGAGTCGTGCAGTAAATCATTCGAGTAATATCTGCTCATAGGCTATGATATCTTGCCATACTTAACAATCCTAATATTTTTTAAAAATCCCTCTTAGATCAACTCACTCACACTAAAGTGCATTTTCGCTGAGGTTCTCCTCAATATAACAGCAATCAAAGAAAAACAAACAAAAAGTGTCTTCCACACAATGATCACATGGTTTCAGTGGTTGCAAGTTGCTTTAGCATTGTAAGGCTAAGTAAGATAATCTAGGACATCATGGCTACACTGTACATTGGATCTGATAGCCTGGGTTTAGCTTGCTGTCCAGCAGCTGTGCAGTCTCAGTTACCATGGTGATCTACCCAAAGGGTAGCTACCTTCATGAGGCAAAAAAAGTCAGACTAAATCTCAAATTTAGCATTTTATTACTTAAAAGGCTTATGCCTACATTTTTTATGTAAAACCTATATTTTCTCTACCTTTACTCTACTTGTGTTTAAATTGCATTAATATGCAGGAGTCAGGCTCAGGCTATAGATGAGTTTAAGAAGTATGGTTCTGTATGTTACAATTACTCACTGCCATTCAAGACTTCGTTTGTTCGAACAAGCAATTAATATTTAGCTGTACACAAGGTTATGACGTGGTTATCTACACTGGATTCTCTTGTTTAGATAAGGGTGCTATTTTTACACAGTACAGTGTTGTGTCACACAAAAAAGCTGCAGCTCACAGAAGGAGGACTCAGCAAAATTCTTTTAAAAAAATGCAATGCATGCAAAGTTATTTCTAACTACCAAAATGATTCAAACAGAAAAGTTAAACATTATTTACTTATTATTTCCAGTATTTATTTTAAAGATATTTGCAGTGTTCAGAATGATGGGATTTACTGTAAATGGACAATTAGCATAATGTAAAGCACACAGAAAAGTATGCAAGACTGAACTGAAACTTGAATCACATACACACAATTGTATAAGCTTCTAATTACAGTATTGTATCTTTGTATCTACTGTTCTAAAAATACAAAAAATACAATTTATAAATAATAACTTTATTTGGTTGCCTAGACTGCAATTATAAATATGTACATCCATGATCTATTTCCAAAAATTGTGTATGGGCCAGCTCACATTACCGTGGCTCCCCTGGCGGAGGCAGCTCTGGTCAGGGTGGTACAGGTGCCTGCTGGATCCATGGTGCCATCTTTTGGTACATACAGGGTTCCATACAGATCATCAACGTTCATCAGAGGATACAGGTCCTTGGTCTCAGCAGGTGACAGGACATGGGACTCGATACCATAAACTTTACCCAGCTACAAATAAGGGGAGATAGCATGTTTTTTTGCCCATGGTGTTGCTTGAGAGGGATTTCTTTCATTTAAAGATGTTAAGTTGCATCACCTGTATTCTACATCAAATAAGTAATCCTTGCACAACACTTCCTGTATGTGCTTCACAGTAGAAACTTTCAACATCTGATTATCTCTTTTATTGTGAAGCAGCCCCAGGAGGAGTTGACTTACAGCCACTAGTAGCATATCATTAATTAGGTTTCAACTGAGGATTGCTGAACACATTTGTTTCTTTTTCAGGGGCTCGATCTGTATCACACCATGCATTGGTTAGGTGAAGTTCCAAAAGAACTTCGGACCTCCAACACAAATAATCAAAGTAAACAAAGCCTTTTCCCGGTCATGTGCCCCAACCTTAACACCATGTTGAGCGAACAACACCCAAATACAAACCCAAATATCATCTCTGCCTTTTAAAGCCCTGAGGAGCAGTTCCAGTAGCTGAAAATCTGTTTCACTGGCGGTATGAACACATTAGCTTTCTACCTGGTCTTTGTTATTCGTGCCAGGGGTAATTTTCATCAATAATAGAATTATTTATGCGCTATTATTTGTTGGCAGCCCCCTAACTGGCAGAAACAATCAGTATTTTACATGCACACAGGCCAGATTTATCTCCTATCCACAAACTTATTTTGGAACTATGTCTCACTATGACTTACAGCGATCATGCTTAGAAAAAAAGGCAAGAGAGCAAATAGATTTTTCTATGTATTATTTTGAATACAAGGATAAACCTTTATGTGGTATGATCTTTCACCCCACCACAGTGATACTTCCATTGTCTGAAGTATTTGTGTTCCTAAGAAAACCCTGTTTGTTGTTTGGAGTTCTTATGTTGTAAAGGTGGCTTACATGTCTTTATGCTTGCTGAGGATTTTTTCCCAGTCCAAACACTGTACTCCCTAATGGAGGCAGAGTTTGGGGCGGCTTTTTCCCCCCTCCCATCTCTCTTGTTTATTTGCCTGTTTCTTGTACCCACCTTTCAAGTAATTTCCCCACGGGGATTATTAAAGTATTTCTGATTCTGATTCTGATTAAGCGTTTGCAGCCACTTACTTTGTACAGGACACAATGACACCTGCTGCTATGGAAACCATTTAAAGCTCTAATGGCCGTATCTTATCCCAGTTAAGAGTCCAGTGTGTAGAATTTAGTTGGATCTAGTGGTATAGAACAGTTCCCTCTGTAGATAAAAACGTCTAATTTTAAGGGAACAAAAACACAATGATTCTTATTTTCAGGTGATTATACACTAATTTAAACAAACTTATCAATATTATAGCCAATAGATCCTCCTCAATGTTACACATTGGACCTTTAATTTTATATTTAAATAGCCTCTGCTCAATGCAATCAGCTGTATAGTGAAAAACAATTAGCAGGCACCTACAATTATGTTTAGGTGTTAGCATGTTGTCTAGTGTTAACAAATGTTAGTCAGTTCAATATGTTCTGCACCAAGCATTAAGGGTCTGATTATTTATTTATTTTCAAACAAACAAATCAAGAAAGTCTGATTTCTGACATTAGTTAATACTGTAAGAGGAATTAGTCTTTAATTACTTATGTTTAAAATGATCAAATACATTAAATGATAAAAGAGCTATCTCGGTTCTTACCGACATGAGGCGCTTGTACTCGTCCAGCCTCTGCTTGTTGGAGGCAATGAAGAGTCCTCCATTTTGGATCCAGCCTGTGTGGAGACCGGTCTCCTCCTCCAGGTCTTTGCTGATCACGTTCCTGGTGTGGGCCAAGAGCTCCACCTCAACATCACTGGGACGGAGCTGCCACAGCAAGCCTAGTGTACAGACCCATACGTCGACAGATATACAGACACTTTTTGACAGTAGTGCATGTGCAGTGCGTGTGCAAACACAAACTGAGCACTTTATCTACAGAAACCTTCTCAAGACATTAAGACCTTGTTAGAAAGAAGGTACTGTGTAAGGACAGAGTATAAGACTACGGGTGGACAGTTCGGTAACAGTGCAGAAGTACTGTATATGTAACAACATGGATTTGGCTTTATTGTTAGTTTTAAGGCAGAGTTCTTTACTCATTGTATTGAATTAAACATAATTTAAAAACAGTAGGAGAACAACATTTCAGCATGCATCATCTCCCTCTCAGGTACATACACACTCATTACACCTGTGTGTTACCTGCAGTGTGCCAGGTGGTGCCAGCAGTCAGTCTGTCTCTCTCCAGCAGAACTACGTTAGTCATCCCCATTTTAGCCAGGTGGTAGATAGTCTGACAGCCCAGACTGCCTCCTCCGATCACCACGACATCAGCTGACCTGAGGTAGGTGGCAGATTACTACAGGTGAGCTGGGAAATGACTTTCAAAGTGGGATAAGGTCGATGCCTAATTGGGAATATGTATAGCTTACTTTTCTTGCTGAGAATTTAACAAAAAGATTGACACCGCTTTCATATCTAATATGTCCAATTTGCTTAGCCTAGGATAAAGAAAAAAGAATGAAAACATGGGGAAGCCGCTATCCTGGCTCTGACAAAGTAACAAAACCCTTCTACAAGCATCTATAAAGCTTACTAATTAACAATCCACAAAAATAACACTTTCTGGTTTTATGGAGGGGTCAAGCTAGCAGTTTCCCCTCTCTTCCAGCCTTTATACTAAGCTAGGGTAACTGGCTAATGGCTGTAGATTCATATTTAACAGACGTATACGAGAGTGGTATCGATCTTCTCATCAAATTCTCAACAAGAAAGTAAATAAACTTATTTCCCAAAATGTTATCACATAAAATTCAAAAGTGTTGGTTTTTGATTACTGAGTAGATTAGTGATAACAATGTTTATTTTATTAAACTGACAATCAGATATCTCTGTTTTCAGACCTTTTCCAGACCTGAGTGATCCACAGAGCATCTACAATCTGTTCAAGTCTTGTAGAGATGCAGCAAAGGGCCACAGGTCAGAGCTGAACCTATGACCGCTGCAGTAAGGACCCAGCTGCAGTAAGGACCCAGCTCCACCAAGTGAGCTACCACGGCGTCAACCTACCCAGCTATGTGTGTATTCTTCATCTTATCATGATGTCAGAACAGAACAGAAACAGGTCTTAAGTCGCAAAAACTACTGCAAGTCAATGGTCACTTTTACAGGACAAAATACCGTAAACACCTGCAGGCATCCACTAAGGCAGCTAACCTGGGTAAAGGTTTAGTGGGTCCAGATGAGACTCCATCTGCCTGTTTGAGTGTTTTCTCGTAGGGAACACTTTTTTCCTTGGTGGGCTCTGAGCTGTAGGATCGAGTGGTTGTCCGGCACAAGGGAGAGAGAGGAGGCCGCGCTGCTGACACCACCCGCCGAACTGCGCTCCCTAGGAAGGCCATGGCCCCTGTGGGCAGTCAGATGACACAAAGGCACGTGGGTTGTATTGTGCAGAATACTCAAGGTCTCAGAAACTCATGTACGATGCAACTAGTTTTCCAGAATACATGTATACACAAAATAATCAGTATCTGCTAGGTCTGGTTAAAGTAGATTGTGTACCATCACACTAAATGGAATTGTGCAATTGTGCACCTGTGAAAAGTCAGGTAAAACAGGTGGTTTGAGATCATGTTATAATTTCCAGTCAAAAAAACCCTGCTTTGATTAGTGTCCTAGATTTCTACCACCAAAAGTTGCAAAATTCCTCTATGGAGATTAAGGTTCACAGTGTTGCATTATCACTGATTAAGCTGCGACTTTAACATGTTGAATGAATAACAGTATTGTTTCTGGAGGTAAATACACTTGTGGGTTTAATGCTTTCTCAGCCACATGGCTGATGTTAGCAGAGGGTTCAAAGCAGGCCAAGATCAGGTCCAGTGAACAGGGACTATCAGTTCCAGTATTAAGCCTTACATTACACTAATTACTAATGTGAACTATAGCCTTAAGAGAAAAACAGTAGGCTGGCTCTAGCTGTGCGTACAAACCTGTCTGTAGAGAGCAGGGTGACATTTGCATAGGCAGCAAAAAGATTATGCAAACTTAAAATAGTTTGAAAAAGTGTGCAGAAACTGGCTGCTCAAGTTTAACAGCAATGCTGCAGTAACAAAAGAAACCGCTTGGTCCTGCGCTTCTTGTGCACTGTTACACTTTTTAATAGGCATGGTCACAACACTTAGATTCGCTTTATTGCGCATGAGAATAATAATAATAACTGAATCCACTGAATAGACTGAGTGCACTAACGTCAACGCCATGTCCCAGAATAAAAATAAAAAATAAAAAAACAGGCTGAGCAGCTGCAAGCGGTAAACGTGGCATACACGCTGCATGTGATCCCCTCACACTGACAAGCATTGCATACAAACAACGTTATCAAACCTGCGAGTAGCATCGTGCACTAAACTGTGTTGCATGAGAGCAGTGTGGTTTCCACACATGCGGACTTACACTCGGTTCTGCCCGGTACGGACTGTCCCCGGATAAGACACTCGGTGCAAGAGCTAAAAAGTTTAGGAACAGCTTGCAGAAGTGGAGTCGTGGAAAAAAGTCCAAATAGTTTGTGAATGCCAGAGTCAGAGATTTAATAGTGTGGCCCGGATGCTGTAGTTAGCTGTCAGGCAATGTAAACTGGAGCGCTGACTGTAGTTGTAGTTCCTGTCGGGACTCCTCCCCTCCTCCATACCCTCGCTACTCTCAGAAATACCATTTGAATTGGTGCCAACCCATTACGTCAGTCAAATAAGGACACTGCAAATAAATACATGATGTTGGGCAGAACAGAGTTTCACCTAAATAATCAAACTGTACAGAAGTGTATAGAATTTCATAACCATAGCATGCATTAAAGGTAAAATATACATGACCTATGGAGCTCAAACTGGAGCATTATGGTCCTTCAGGGAGTTCACAAGACCAAATCCAGGTGTCAGGACTCAGCAGGGTGCAGGATTGTGCTGGTTAACCTCTCATGCTCTTTTAGTGGCTTTGTTTGTATTTATTTACTGACCATATACTGCTGGTTAAGTATGCACAGGGTTATCTGTACAAATATAAATAAAATATGTGGTTTCCTGGCTCTTTTTCTTTTATTTTCCTGTCTTATTTTACATTTGGGTAAAATTAACATTACATGAGATGAGAGTGTAAGTCCTTTGTCAAAGGAGAAACACAGAAGCAGTTGATTTGTTGTTTGTTTTATGCAGATTCAATTATATAAACTGTGTGATGTGTGTGTGTGTGTGTGTGTGTGTTGGAGGGGGGTGTCATGGTAGCAGCTGTTGTTGCAAGTCCTCGAGGTCCAGAGTGCAAACGAAGCAGAAGTAAGACATCAGATCAACACAGCACAACATGTATGAAGAGTTTGTATGTGTGAGATGCATTGGATACATAGTCATGGCGATCTTGCAGTGGGGGAAAGAAGAGTGAGAAGAGAAGACCTTTTTAAAGCTTAAACACTGCTGCCTAAGTAACTCAACATTATGAAACCTTATGCTTTGTAGGCCTGAGCCTTATGCAGTTTCTCTGCCTGCCAAGTTGACCTCATGAATCCCCACCTCCAAGCCAGCAGCCAATAAGGTGCTGAGTTTAGGTTCACACCAGTGACAGGAGGTTCTCTCCAGTTTATACAGCCTGGAGCAGCCAGTCACTATCTTATGTAGCCTACTGTGTGTGTGTGTGTGTGTGTG